CATGGACCCAAAATGTTGATGCTTTGTTCCCCGAGCCACTTAGTTATCACTTTTGCCTTATGGCAAGGTGCTACATCATGCTGGAAAAGGCATTGGTCGTCACCAAACTGTTCTTGGATGGTTGGGAGAAGTTTCTCTCTGAGGATGTGTTGGTACCATTCTTTATTCATGGCTGTATTCTTAGGCAAAATTGTGAGTGAGCCCACTCTCTTGGCTGAGAAGCAACCCCACACATGAATGGTCTCAGGATGCTTTACTGTTGGCATGACACAGGACTGATGGTAGCGCTCACCTTGTCTTCTCCGGACAAGGTGTTTTCCGGATGCCCCAAACAATCGGAAAGGGGATTCATCTGAGAAAATGACTTTACCCCAGTCCTCAGCAGTCCAATACCTGTACCTTTTGCAGAATATCAGTCTGTCCCTGATGTTTTTCCTGGAGAGAAGTGGCTTCTTTGCTGCCCTTCTTGACACCAGGCCATCCTCCAAAAGTATTTGCCTCACTGTGCGTGCAGATGCACTCACACCTGCCTGCTGCCATTCCTGAGCAAGCTCTGCACTGGTGGTGCCCCGATCCCACTGCTGAATCAACTTTAGGAGACGGTCCTGGCACTTGCTGGACTTTCTTGGGCGCCCTGACGCCTTCTTCACAACAATTGAACCTCTCTCCTTGAAGTTCTTGATGATCCGAAAAATTGTTGATTTAGGTGCAATCTTACTAGCAGGAATATCTTTGCCTGTGAAGCCCTTTTTGTGCAAAGCAATGATGACTGCACGTGTTTCCTTGCAGGTAACCATGGTTAACAGAGGAAGAACAATGATTTCAAGCACCACCCTCCTTTTAAAGCTTCCAGTCTGTTATTTTAACTCAATCAGCATGACAGAGTGATCTCCAGCCTTGTCCTCGTCAACACTCTCACCTGTGTTAACAAGAGAATCACTGACATGATGGCAGCTGGTCCTTTTGTGGCAGGGCTGAAATGCAGTGGAAATGTTTTTTTGGGATTCAGTTCATTTTCATGGCAAAGAGGGACTTTGCAATTAATTTCAATTAATCTGATCACTCTTCATGACATTCTGGAGTATATGCAAATTGCCATAATCAAAACTGAGGCAGCAGACTTTGTGAAAATTAGTATTTGTGTCATTCTCAAAACTTTTGACCACGACTGTATTATTTAGCTTGTTATATTTTCTTGTAATACCGTCTTTTCCCTTTATAAAATACTATACCTACTATAAATGTGCTTTATTATTACAATCCCTACCATGGCTAGTATTGGTGTTCTATTATTCGACTCCTCTATTAGAACTTTCAGAATAGCCATGGAATAGTCTTGCTGCGACCAGTGTAACAGAACAATCTAAAGACACTACGCGAGATGGGAGACCACGACCAGTCCGTCACATCATTCCTTTTGATCTTTCCTGTGAGCAGTGGCAGTCTTTCTGAATTCATAAAGTACAATCTGGGTCGGCCATCGGTTAACGACCAATGCGCGAGACTGCTCTCTATACAAAAACAAAACTGAAACTATAGAACTGCAAATGAGCCGTCGTGAGGCAGTGTGCCCACAAAAGCCTGGGACTTGGTTGGAGGCAGTATAGGGTCGTATTCACTAGGCACCAAACAGAATGAAAACGGACTGAAACTGCCTAGGGACTACCTGAACTTTAGTTTTTCATTGCAAGGGAGTTTTGCTACGGTCCACACCAATAAATACGACCTAGTACTTACATAGGTTACAACAGAGCTACCTAACCCTCTTCCTGGAGATCTACCCTCCTGTGGGTATTCAGTCCAACCCGAACCTAACATACCTGATTCAGCTAGATGAGGATCATGTTCCAGGCCCTGACCAAATTGCATATAATGCAACCAATAGTTGCATAGCACGTCATTTGCATGCAATGTCATTGACTGCGCAGTCAGGAAATAGATTGCTATACCATATGGGTCGCATTCCTGCTTGACTATGTTGCAGACGGCTGCCAGATCTCGCAAAGCTTGGATAGGTGTTTAACATATCAGCTAATCACATAATATGATATAGCAGTGTAATGCCACACAGTCGATGACATGGCGCACAACCATTGGTTGATGCAATGCAACGTCTTCAACGTAATCAGGCAGGAACACCACCAATATGTGGTTGGTTGATATGTTCAACACTAGCCTTGTATGGCCATCCTTCCAAATCTTGTCTCGTTGAATTGTGTTGGAAATCTTGAGAAATCCAGTATAGGATTCTGGGTTTGATTGGGAGTGTAGGTTTTTCTTCAAACCCTTATCTAGCACACCTAACTAACTGGTTGATAAGCTGAATCACGTTAGTTACTACTGGGTTTGGAGCAAAAACCTACAGGATGGTAGCTGTACAGGAACAGTGGTAAGCTCTCCAATAGTGATTTGGGATTTGTAAAAAATTCAATAAAAGTAGAGGCCAATAAATCATCAAATAATCTGAACTAATTATGCTAATGTGTTATGTTAACTATCCAAACTTTGTAATACACCCATAAATTAAGAAGCAATGAAGTCCACCTGGAACGCACCCGTGTCGACCTGCAACCGCAGCCTAGCAATGAACGCGCCCGCGGGCTAGCAATGTGGTGATTGTTGTCTAATCGGGTAAACCAGAAGCCAGCTGGGCCACGAGTTGACGTTTTACGTTTGAAATGTTTTTATTAATTAAGGTACTGCAAATGCAATGCTCACTCATTATTTATTAATTACCATTTTGCTTCCTATGGCAGGCAAGCGAGGTCTGGTTTTCGGCCATGCTGGAAATGTGATCTCGCGTTATTGTGTCATTGTCAATACAGTACATGTACACAACGATTTGAACCTTCTGAACAACTAGTGGGTCAGGCGGCGCTCCACTGTCTGATTCATATCGCGTGATTTCTGAAGATTGTTCTCGATTATATCGACTGATTGGTTCTGTATGGGGTGTTATTAAAATGGCCCGGGTTAAACCGGCCTATTGCCCGTCACGTGACTGGGTGAGAGAGTAGCGCCCTGCTCAAATCGAACAAATCTGCACCGCTTCGTTATGTTATCAACAAGGCAGCATTATCCAGGCTTCAGAAACATGGCTCACAACCACGCCCGGGAATCGAATGCAATAAACTTTCAACCAGTGCAAAACACGCCTACATTGATATTAATCGAATCCCCGCATAGATACGAGTAAGAATTCAACCTAATTGGCTGACCTATATTCTGCCAGTCAATCTGACGATTCCCATTGGTCGTCGGGGATTTGTTTTGTAGCTGGTGACGTATTTGGTACCGCCTCCTTAACCAGCGTTGTAAACAAACCCCGAATAATATTGCAAGTTTGTCCCTGCACCACGAAAATATCCTATCTACAAAAAACTTAGTGGGAGTAGCTATAGTTCTTTTAATATTTTAACTACAACATACACGAAACTGTTTCATCTCAGAGAAAAACTTGTTCCTGTTGTCAAGTGTGAGAGACCGAGAGAGAACAGCTGCAAGGCAAATCTGCACCACGATTCTTCTTGTTTGTTTGGATCCATTCGTCCGATGGTTTCTTGCTGAAAAAGTGACCCAACAAGCTATCCCCTAGACGATTGAGCAATTTACTGATGCATCTCAGTTGACCTACCCAACGGTAGTTTGCTGGTCATATCTTCGTTAAAATTAGGTCTTCCACTGAAAATCCGATAACTACGTTAGGTGAGTCCAGTCCAGAGCTATTTTCTCTTGCGCTTGTATTTCCTTCCATGTTGCTAGCTGAGCCTGAAATGGCTGGTTTACAGTAAACATATTCAACGTCTCCTGTAAACCCAGATTATGGTTCAGTTGCTAGCTAGCAAGCTAACGTCACTCACGATAGCTAGCTAGAGTGGAAGACTGACGATGAATAATTCACTGTAGCAATCGTTTTGGGGAATTCTTGGCTAGCTACCTAAGTAGTTAGCTAACGTTAGCTGTTGTCTTTGTCAGAATGTGGAACGAGTCAGCTAACGTTAGCAGGTCAGCAAAATTACTGGCGTGCTAATTGCACATGGGCATTTAACCGTTTTAAATGACCCAAGACTTTTGAGTAAAAAATGAACTAATTGTCCCATCCATCTATGGAGCGCTACTGACTCTGACCATACATAGTCGGGTTTAGCTGGTACAGTTAAGTAGGTCAATGCATGTTGTGTTCTGTCTGGTGCAATGGTCAGCGTTATCGGGATCCTTGCGACGTCTCAACCCAAAATGTAACCCCTAACCTTAACCCTTACTTAAATCATTTAAAATGTAAACTTCAATGGGGTAGGGACGTTCCAATGATCGTGGATAGCACGGAGGATCGCTTGATGGCACGGACCCTGCTGTAATTGTACCAGGAAGTGAGCTGCGAATTAATAATAATAATAATATGCCATTTAGCAGACGCTTTTATCCAAAGCGATTTACAGTCATTAGACATGCATAAAATAAAGTCACTAATATGTGCCCAGACCTGTTTCCCACTCCTAATAATACAGTTAGTTCATTATTGTGTGATTCATATTCCTTCTGACATTTTTTGTGACACTCTTGTACTTGTACCATGACAAGGTGTGACCTGTCATGCCTAAATGGAGAGGAAATTAACATTTGAGTGCATACGTTTTCTACAATGCTGGCATTACTTTTATATAATGTTGGACAGACAGCCAAAAGTTATTGAACTTGTTTCTTACATTTGCATTTTATTTTTCCAGTTTTCATTTGAAAGCCATGGTAATCATATGTTGCTCTTTGTGTTTGTGTTGTTTACCCAACTTTGCCTAACCCTATTTGGCAAATACGCTTACAAAATGGCATTTTCTCATAGTTACTACACTACACAAATAGTGAAGTTTAGGGTTTACTACAATCACATTTAGGAGTAGCCTAGCATTATGAGCCCCTGTAATGCCCAATATCCTCTCTGTCTCCTCTCCTGTTTTCCTGTTAAACGCTAAGTCACTCTATTTTCCTCTATCTCCTCAGACATGGTGAAGCTGACGAAGGCTAAGACGTTCCAGGCGTACCTAGACTCGTGCCACCGCAGGTACAGCTGTGTTCACTGCCGAGCACACCTGGCCAACCATGATGACCTCATCTCCAAGGTGAGACTACAGGGACCATTTATGGCTAGTGGGTTAAATAAAATAAAATACAATTTTATTGGTCACATACACATATTTAGCAGATGTTATTGCGGCTGTAGCGAAATGCTTTTGTTCCTATCTCCAACAGTGCTGTAGTATCTAACCATTCACAACAATACACACAAATCTAAAAGTAAAAGAATGGAATTAAGAAATATATAAATATTAGATTGAGCAATGTAAATTCCATATAGTTGAATAATAAGCCTGTGTTGGCTGCAGGGGTTGGAACCGGTTCAGGGAACAGAACCGAAAACTGGAAAATAATGACATTTTTCAAGAAACGGAACCGGGAACGAAAGTGATCCATACTGTTCCAGAACAGAACCGTTATTTTAAAAGCATACATTTGTTTTACGTTCCAGGCATTTTTTTGAAGTCCCACAAAAAACGCAACAAAGCGCGTATGCAAAACCCTCTCTATCACTCAAACTTATTCCAGCGTCTGCCTGCAAGTTGAGAATCTTTGCCTGTGCGTGTTTAGGCTTCCTTTTTTTTGGTTTGAACCGGTTCAGAGCTTTATTTTGCTGGTTGGAACAATAACAGAACCAAACAAATAGTGATTTTGTTTAGAACAAAACTATTGGAAAATAATTTCGCTTCCTGATTGGCTGTGTGAAATGTAATTACATTTCAATAACAAGTAATAACATTGTAATAACAAGAGAAACAACAGCCACAACCCTCTGTTGCATTGTAAGCTGGGAAACGTTACCTCAATGTCCCACTTTCCTTAAAACTCCTGATTTGTATTTATTTGTTTTGCATTGTCTCTCTCTCTGTCTTCGTGGCACATTTGAGTTCATTCTCTCTTGTATATTTTTTTGTCAAGTCTTTTCAGGGTAGCCAGGGACGTGCCTACCTCTTCAACTCTGTGTGAGTATCTTTACTTGTCATCCGGTGTATGGCCATATAGCCTACACAGTGTACCCATAACTAATGAACAAAGTAGTATCCCTTTTAAGTCCCTAAAACACAGTGCTACCTTAGTTACCGCTCAAGCCTCAGTACACTGTAATTATCATGCATCTGCCAGGTTCTCCTTATGCCATTTCATTTTGTTTACACTAGTCCTGTGAGCCATACAATGCACCATGAAGCCAGTTCACTATCCTAACAGTGGAGGTCACATTCTAGTTGATTTATATTTACCTTCTGTTTGCTGTAGTTTGCATTTAATAGTTAGCATGTCGTTTCTCAACTGGTGCATAGCAAACTCCCCCTGATTTGGGGCTAAATATTAGGTTCTGGGTAGAATTATCACCTTTCTTGTTCAAAAAAAGAAATATACACTACCAGTCAAAAGTTTGGACACACCTACTCATTCAAGGGATTTTCTTTATGTTTTACTAGTTTTTTCATTGTAGAATAATAGTGAATATATCAAAACTATGAAATAACACATATGGATTCATGTAGTAACCCAAAAAAGTGCTACACAAATCAAAATATATTTTATATTTGAGATTCTTCAAATAACCACAATTTTCCTTGATGAGAGCTTTGCACACTCTTGGCATTCTCTCAACCAGCTTCATGAGGTAGTCACCTGGAATGTATTTCAATTAACAGGTGTGCCTTCTTAAAAGTTAATTTGTGGAATTTCTTTCTTTCTTAATGCGTTTGAGCCATTCAGTGGTGTTGTGACAAGGTAGGGGGGTATACAGAAGATAGCCCTATTTGGTAAAAGACCAAGTCCATATTATGGCAAGAACAGCTCAAATAAGCAAAGAGAAACGACAGTCCATCATTACTTTAAGACATGAAGGTCAGTCAATACGGAACATTTCAAGAACTTTGAAAGTTTCTTCTAGTGCAGTCGCAACAACCATCAAGCGCTATGATGAAACTGGCTCTCATGAGGACCGCCACAGGAATGGAAGACCCAGAGTTACCTCTGCTGCAGAGGATAAGTTCATTAGAATTACCAGCCTCCGAAATTGCAGCCCAAATAAATGCTTCACAGAGTTCAAGTTACAGACACATCTCAACATCAATTGTTCAGAAGGGACTGTGTGAATCAGGCCTTCATGGTCGAATTGCTGCAAAGAAACCACTAAAGGACACCAATAAGAAGAAGAGACCTGCTTGGGCCAAGAAACACGAGCAATGGATATTAGACCGGTGGAAATGTGTCCTTTGGTCTGGAGTCCAAATTTGAGATTTTTGGTTCCAACCGCCGTGTCTTTGAGAGACGCGGTGTGGGTGAACGGATGATCTCTGCATGTGTAGTTCCCACCGTAAAGCATGGAGGAGGTTGTGTTATGGTGTGGGGGTGCTTTGCTGGTGACACTGTCTGTGATTTATTTAGAATTCAAGGCACACTTAACCAGCATGGCTACCATAGCATTCTGCAGCGATACGCCATCCCATCTGGTTTGGGCTTAGTGGGACTATCATTTGTTTTTCAACAGGACAATGACCCCACACACCTCCAGGCTGTGTAAGGGCTATTTGACCAAGAAGGAGAGTGATGGAGTGCTGAATCAGATGACCTGGCCTCCACAATCCCCCAACCTCAACCCAATTGAGATGGTTTGGGATGAGTCAGACGGCAGAGTGAAGGAAAAGCAGCCAACATGTTCTCAGCATATGTGGGAACTCCTTCAAGACTGTTGGAAAAGCATTCCAGGTGAAGCTGGTTGAGAGAATGCCAAGAGTGTGCAAAGCTGTCATCAAGGCAAAGGGTGGCTATTTGAAGAATCTCAAATATAAAATATATTTTGATTTGTTTAACACTTTTTTGGTTACTACATGATTCCATATGTGTTATTTCATAGTTTTGATGTATTCACTATTATTCTACAATGTAGAAAATAGTAAGAATAAAGAAAAACCCTTGAATGAGTAGGTGTGTCCAAACTTTTGACTGGTACTATATGTGCGTATCTGGTGGGTCACCAGAAAATCTGATAAGTTTAGGTCAGGTCACAAAACAGACATTTGTGGCGGGGAACCATGGCGGTAATTGACCTGTGGTTTTTGTTCCTGGTGTTTTCAGGGTGAACGTGGGCTGTGGTCCTGCCGAGGAGAGGCTGCTACTCACCGGGCTCCACGCTGTGGCAGACATCTACTGTGAGAACTGCCACACCACACTGGGCTGGAAATACGTAAGCGCGCACACTGTAAAGAATGAAGAACTAAAAGAATATCCTAAATCCCCATCCTCAGACAATGTAGATGTGTTTTAAGCTTGTCCTACTACGCACTCCCGCCTCTTATCACCCCCCTCTCTCTCTACAGGAGCAGGCCTTTGAGTTGAGTCAGAAGTACAAGGAGGGAAAGTTCATCATTGAGCTGTCCCACATGATAAAGGACAACGGCTGGGACTGAGAGGTGAAGGGAGATGTTTTCATTGATTTTTCATCCCTCATCCGTTGTTCTTCCTGGCCTGGATGTGTGCCAGTGTGCCCCCTCACCCTGCGTAAGGGCCATCGGCTCTGCCACTCCGTCACTTCATACAGCTTTGCCAAGAATAGCATGTGATGTTTGTTTTTATATATATATATATATATATATATATATATATATATATACACACTGAGTATACCAAACATTAGGAACACCTTTCTAATATTGAGTTGCACCCCTCCCTTTTTCCCTCAGAACAGCCTCAGTTCGTCGGGGCATGGACTCTAGAAGGTGTCGAAAGCGTTCCACAGGGATGCTGGCCCATGTTGACTCCAATGCTTCCCACAGTTTTCAAGTTGGCTGGATGTCCTTTGGGTGGTGGACCATTCTTGATACACACAGGAAACTGTTGAGCATAAAAAATCCAGCAGCGTTGCAGTTCTTGACACAAACCAGTGCACCTGGTATCTACTACCATACCCTGTTCAAAGGCACTTAAATATTTTGTCTTGCCCATTCACCCTCTGAATAGCACACATACACAATCCATGTCTCAATTGTCTCGATGCTTAGAAGTCCTTCTTTAACCTGTCTACTCGTCTTCATCTACACTGATTGAACAAGTGACATCAATAAGGGATCATAGATTTCACCTGGTCAGTCTGTCATGGAAAGAGCAGGTGTTCTTAATGTTTTCGTGTACTCTGTGTGTGTGTGTGTGTGTGTGTGTGTGATCTACAGTACCAGTCAAAGGTTTGGACACACCTACTCATTCAAGGGTTTTTCTTAATTTTTTACTATTTTCTACATTGTAGAATAATAGTGAAGACATCAAAACTATGAAATAACACATATGGAATCATATAGTAGCCAATAAAGTGTTTAAAGAAAAATTTAAATATATTTTATATTTGAGATTCTTCAAAGTAGCCACCCTTTGCCTTGATGACAGCTTTGCACACTCTTGACATTCTCTCAACCAGCTTCACCTGGAATGCTTTTCCAACAGTCTTGAAGGAGTTCCCACATATGCTGAGCACATGTTGGCTGCTTTTCCTTCACTCTGCGGTCCAACACATCCCAAACCATCTCAATTGGGTTGAGGTTGGGTGATTGTGGAGGCCAGGTCATCTGATGCAGCACACCATCACTCTCCTTCTTGGTCAAATAGCCTTTACACAGCCTGAAGGTGTGTTGGGTCATTGTCCTGTTGAAAAACAAATGATAGTCCCACTAAGCCCAAACCAGATGGGATGGCGTATCACTGCAGAATGCTGTGGTAGCCATGCTGGTTAAGTGGGCCTTGAATTCTAAATAAATCACAGACAGTATGACCAGCAAAGCACCCCCACACTATTACACTTCCTCCTCCATGCTTTATGGTGAGAACTACACATGCGGAGATCATCCGTTCACCTACTCCGCGTCTCACAAGGACAGATCTAATGTCCATTGCTCGTGTTTCTTGGCCCAAGCAGGTCACTTCTTCTTATTGGTGTCCTTTAGTAGTGGTTTCTTTGCAGCAATTCGACCATGATGACCTGATTCACACAGTCTCCTCTGAACAGTTGATGTTGAGATGTGTCTGTTACTTGAACTCTGTGAAGCATTTATTTGGGCTGCAATTTCTAAGGCTGGTAACTCTAATGAACTTATCCTCTGCAGCAGAGGTAACCTTGGGTCTTCCTTTCCTGTGGCGGTCCTCATGAGCGCCAGTTTCATCATAGTGCTTGATGGTTTTTGCGACTGCACTTGAAGAAACTTTCAAAGTTCTTGAAATGTTCCGTATTGACTGACCTTCATGTTTTAAAGTATTGATGGGCTGTCGTTTCTCTGCTTATTTGAGCTCTTTCTTGCCATAATATGGACTTGGTCTTTTACCAAATAGGGCTACCTTGACCAACCCTACCTTGTCATAACACATCTGATTGGCTAAAACACATTAAGAAGGAAAGTATTTCCGCAAATTTACTTTTAACAAGGCACACCTGTTAATTGAAATGCATTCCAGGGACTTCCTCATGAAGCTGGTTGAGAGAATGCCAAGAGTGTGCAAAGCTGTCATCAAGGCAAAGGGTGGGTACTTTGAAGAGTCTCAAATATAAAATATTTTTGATTTGTTTAACACTTCTTTGGTTACTACATGATTCAATGTGTTATTTCATAGTTTTGATGTCTTCACTATTATTCTACAATGTAGAAAATAGTAAAAATAAAGAAAAACCCTTGAATGAGTAGGTGTGTCCAAACATTTGACTGGTACTGTATATATACACACACACTCGTAGGTTTTACGAGTTTTATATAAAACCTACCCCACTATTACGGGAGCACCTTTGTCAATATCGATATATCCCAATGTTTAGTTCTATCGAGGTAGAGTGAGCGAGTACAGGCTGTGTGAGTGAAAGTGAGTGTGTGTGTGTGTGTATACACTCAGGCATGTGTGAGTTGTGTGTTTTACGAGTGTGTGTGTGTGTGTTGCAGTGCGACAACATACTTAGCAACTTCACTATATCCTGCTCATGTAATCTGTGTGGGATTGTAGTCAACAAAAATCTAAATTATCTCTCATTAAGTGCAATTCACAGGGTTGAGACAATTAGACCTTTATGCAAAAACCTAGCGGCCCGAAGGCTGTGCCTGTTTTTTGAGTTTGTAGGTGAATGTGTGAAAAAGCAAGTTACCTTGCTTTGTGTGTGTGTGTGTTTTAAGACTTCATACTTAATGTTTGATGGTACAAGCAGAGTTGAAAAAAAGTAATATTATGTTTAGTACCGCTCCGTCATGTTAAGTGTGTGTATCTCAAATGGAGTATCAAGTGCAATACAGTAGGGTGTGTCTGCGTGAGTGCGCGTGGTTAAAGTTCACTTTAAAATGTCAGCAATATAACATTGGTCATGTTTTTTATCCTTTAAATGGCAATCAATGTATTTGGTTGTTAATTATGTCAAAGGCTGCAGCATTACACAGTTTGTAAGTGTTTCTGTGTGATTGGCCCGTGTGAGTTTGAATACTGTGTGTAAATGTTTGGCGTATGGGTGTTTTCTCTGTATGCTGCCTGTGGGTATGCATTTTATGGTTTGTGTGTGTGAGAGTTTGTGTGTGAGTGTTTATACTGTGTGTATGCAGTGCAAGTGTACAGTGTAAGATTGTATGATCAGATACAGTACTTGCTAGACAGTTAGCAAATGCTTTAGTTTGGGGGTCAAATCAATTGTTTCTGATGTTTAATTGGATATCCATTTTTACATTATTTCCTTTTGAGATCAATTTTGTAAATACAGCTTAACATTGAGCAGCATGTACATAAGCATTTATTTGATCATATTAGAGAGCAATGTGTAATATCAAAAAGGATTAATATATCTATAATTATGTAGCAGATGGTGACTTTATGTAAGATTTTCCATTAAAGTGTTTAATTTTAACCTGAACTCTCACATTAAAGTATGTGGTAAATATATCTGCCTGTTGTTTCTATTACAGTAGCTAGGTTTCCATCCAATTGGCGACAGATTTTCATGCGAATATTCCAAAATCTGCATAAACACAATATGCGCATTGTTCAAACAGTGGTGTGTTTCCACCAAATGGGCCTGTTACGGATAAAAAGCAGTGCGTGATGACGTAGTGCACATAAAATGTACTTTTTCACTTAAATTGTCATGTACCGAAAAAATCGAAAGTTCAATGTGTTTTAATCACACTTTCAACTCGCACTTTGAACTCTACCGATAGTTTTGCAAATGTGCCCACTCCGGTCTTGGCACGTGCGCTCTAGCCAACAGCTCGCAGATACAGTGCGGGTAGGCTTGCCTACATGATGAGATTATTATGGATAAGAGCGACAATATTTTTATTTGTCAAATGGCACCCAATCATCGATCATCATGTCACCAGAATAAGCCCTAGTTCAAACACCACTCCATCGACGCACCGAACTAAAAACTGTCACTTTCTCTTTGGAAGAGCGGGGATAGATTGCCGCCTTGTTGGACTTCTGAGGATAGTTCGGCAGCCTCTGCCACTCTTTCGGCATGGTGCGGGTGAAGCACGCCTCTGTTTCACGCAGCGCGTCAGAGCAGTTCCTCAACTGTCTGGAGAAATGGTAATGCATATTAATATATGTTAATTGCATGCAAATAAAGGTTGCTACGCTACCACACACAACTGAAGCGCAATCATGGCTTCGGATTCGCAGGTGTTAGAACAGACCAGAGGAGAACAACTGCCCACTCTCATTGAAGCCACGGAAGTTCTAGGCCGACTGCGGTACTGCAGGTATTGTTAGCAGAAAACAGTATCCCCCATTACAGTGAATGGAAAAATTGCAATCTTCGTGGTCAATCTTCGTGTAAATAAAGACACACCAGATGTATGTCCTTGAACCGATTATTTTAAAATCGAACACAGAACAAGTTATAAGGATAATGTAGTGGCTAATGGCAGCCTGCAGTACCCCGGTCAGCCTTAAAATGTAGTTCCTCAATGACAGGGGGCAGCACTGAGTTAGCCTGCAACGTCACTTCCTGGAGTAGATCAAACTATGCTTGTCTCCATGATATGCCTTCTTAATCTTAACCAACTTTTCTTGGCTTCAATGCGCTATTGAGTCTTCACATAAGAATGAATGCTGTCACGTGATCGATGGCTTTTGGCTTTCCATTCATATACAGTACCAGTCAAAAGTTTGGACACCTCCTCATTCAAGGGTTTTTCTTTATTTTTACTATTTTCTACATTGTAGAATAATAGTGAAGACATCAAAACGTTGAAATAACACATATGGAATCATGTAGTAACCAAAAAAGTGTTAAACAAATCAAAATATATATATATTTTTTGAGATTCTTCAAATAGCCACCCTTTGCCTTGAGACAGCTTTGCACACTCTTGGTATTCTCTCAACCAGCTTCACCTGGAATGCTTTTCCAACAGTCTTGAAGGAGTTCCCACATATGCTGAGCTCTTGTCGGCTGATTTTCCTTCACTCTGCCGTCCGACTCATCCCAAACCATCTCAATTGGGTTGAGGTTGGCGGATTGTGGAGGCCAGGTCATCTGATGCAGCACTCCATCACTCTCCTTCTTGGTAAAATATCCCTTACACAGCCTGGAGGTGTGTTGGGTCATTGTCCTGATGAAAAACAAATGATAGTCCCACTAAGCCCAAACCAGATGGGATGGCGTATCACTGCAGAATGCT